TCTTGCTGGTGAAGGACACCTTCAGCTTAGTCCATTCTCCCAACCAAAGCCTGAAGGAGAATTCTAACACCTAATTCTTTGTGGAAAAATTACCAACTAGCCACTTTACAGGCTGCAGGAAAAAGAAAAAGAAGGTAGATTGGGCATTTTTCCTTCTGTCCTGGGATCAGGAGTGCTTCTACTTAACAGTGATCCGGTAAAGAGATGAGGCTGTGCCCAGGGCTGGAGAAGAGGCTTGCTCTAAGCAGTCTGTAGTGAGGCACAGGGTTACAAGCGGATGGCAGAGAATGGGCTGGCCTACTCTCAGTTCAAGCAGCCAGCAGAGCAGCAGCAGTCTAAAAAGCCCCTAACGGAACACTCTTATGGGCTCAGGGAAGGGCTGAGGGGCTGCCTTTCTAACATGTGCCAAAAAATAACATAGTACCCAAATCTGGACCCTGGGGACTTCGAGTTTGGATGGGTAGGTGCTGGAAAAAGGGAGCATCAAAGTCAGCTGCTCTTCTCACAGCCCTAGGCCAACACAAACTGCAAATTGGTAAGCAGCACCTTAATGCCTCTGGTGACAGTCACAGCTGAAGTGGCAGGGTCAAGCTTGTAGGTGTTGGCATCCCCCTTTTTATATCGGTCTCGAAAAACATAGATGCTCCCATTACAGCTGGCGATCTTCCAGAGGGATGGGGCAGAGCTCCAGGCCTCAGGAAGGCAAAGCCGGGTAAAGCTGTCTAGCAGGGGATTGTAGCACACCAGGGAGTCCCCTTCAGCCACGATGAACACCAGATCCTTATGCACAGCTGCGTGCATGCGGCCAGCGAAGGGCAGCACGTAGGGTTTCACATGACACTTGTCTGTCTCTGTGTCAAAGCACTGGATGAGTCGGGATGGTTTGGTAAAGAAGTCCAGGTCATTCTCCTCCCCCCCAAGTAGGTAGATGATCCCATTGAGGTTGGCACCAGCGGCCCCGGACACAGCCACCTCTAGCTGGGTTGTCTCAGTCCAAACGTTATCACCCACCCGATAATAGATAACTGCATTGGAGAGGGTATCCTGCAGTGTCTTGCCACCTAATGAATATATGGCATCCTTCCCGGGCACAGACACCAGGGTATGCTGGAGCCGGTCTCGGGGCAAAGGCGCACACCACTCCCAGTCCACGGTGGCATTGTTGCACTTCCACATGCGCCTTGGGATGGACCCTCCCACCACGTACAAGTCTCCGCCATGCTTGCAGGCTGCAGTGATCTGGTGGCACAAGCTGTTTTGGCCACTTACACTGATGGAGTCATCTTCTGCACAATGTAAGGACACAGCCAACGAGTGGGTACGAGATGACTCTTTCCCGATCAGGTAAATGTGTACATTCTCCCCAATTTCCTATTGGTGAAATTAAAGTTATAAATGGTATCTATCAGTTCTAGGCTAAGGCTCAGCTGAGACGCATATCCTTAAGGTCCTGGACCACACACTTGTATTTTGCTCTAACCTACTCCCCTCTAGTAACTGAATGTCATCCTGACTCTCCTCCAATCACTCCAGTCATTTTCAGGCACCTTATGCTGGGACAGAGAATCTGTTACATTCATTCTTCCAGCTTTTTTAAAACTATCATGAGCGAGTGCTTCGGATTGTTAAAGCAATGATGAAAGTAATTTTCTCAGGGAGTTTTGGAGCCCAGAGGCTGGTGCTTCTGGACTCAACTACACATCCTCCTCCCCAGCTCTTATCAACTTAATCCAAAGACTTACTCACTAACCATCAAAGAGGCCAGGCCAATAGATGGCTGGAATGCATGGATATTATAGTGTCCCAACCCTAAAGAAATCTGCCTTACCTTCAAGCTACTTCTGAGTGACTCTGAAAAAGCCTCTCTTTCTTCTTTGTTAAAATTGATCCAGGCTTCTATCGCCTCTGTTGGGTTCTGGGAACATGGAACTCCATCTGCAAGAGCCAGAGGAAAGGCATGGTCAATGGCAAGATAATGATCCAGAAGGGAAATTTAGAACCAGTGGCTTTTAAAATGTGAAACCCTTTGTTAGACTACAACCATGTATGTATATGTATGTGTGAGAAATTAACCTAAAATTGCCTTATTTTAATTAGAATGGATGGCTTGATATGATCTCATTTGCCATGGAAGCAATCTATTAGGCTACAGAGCTCACACTTCAAGTATGGTTATACCTCACTTGTTACCTAAAGTTGGCCAATCACTTGAAAAGCTTATTTAGTGATCCCGACTCACTGCCAATTTATTTAGGTAACTAGTCCCACAAGTACATGCAAAGCACATGGATGAGAACACTTATGCACAAAAGAGATTAGAGTATACAGATAGCTCCTCACTTCCTTTTGTGGCTAAGTGCTGCTTTTTTTTTTAATTTAGTTAGCATCCATCACCACACAGTCACAATTTTT